GGCCATTTGCTTTCTTCAGAAATATACCCATAAAGTTCTAGACCACTTACTAAAATATGATCAGTATAACGGCTTGTTTAGTCCTCAGATTCAGACACCAAGATGCTATTTTCTTAGGATTCTACACTTTTGTCATACAACATTGTACTGCACTAGGGCCTAAAAACAAACGCCTACACATTTTATTTTACAGCTATAGCAAAATACTAAGTGAGCTTATCAAAATTAATCTCCCCTTCTAAAGTCACCCAAGAAAAGCACACTGCATGCCTATTGGAAAGACAATGTCATGGTTAAGAACACATACTCTGCAATTTGGCTGTTTTAGTTTGAACTCCACCTCACCACTTATTAGCTATGTGATTTGGGGGCAAATTACTCAAAGTTACTTAATCTCTGTGCCATGGTTTCCTCATCTGTGAAATAACAATACCACCTACCTCATAGGACTTCTGTAAGGATTAAGCAAATATGAATATATATATACATATAGCACTTCGTGTAGTGCCTGACATATAGTAAGTGCTATGTGTTAACAATTAACAATTATTAAAAAATAAAGATCTGTGTACATTAGAAATGGCTTTTACAAACAGGTTATGTTTGAAAAGTCTTTTTTTTTTTTTAGTTAGTTGCTTAGAACTACAAATCCGTATCCCTGGAAATCCAATGCTGGTTAGATTTGTCATGGTTCCACAGAAACCCAACACAGTGTGATTACGTTTTATCTTCCCCTTGTTTCCATGGAATAATGTATCAAAAATTCCAACTGGGAAAAAACCCTTGCGTTTCTGACTACATTCTCAGGTTCTAGAAGTGCCTAGTAATGACTACCAATATTTTAGAGACAAAAATGACCCTTTCTGGGTTTTTTCTACGGATACGACTAGGGACTTCTGAAGGAACACTAGTGATTTTTATGGTAGGGATAGAAGTGGGAAGAATATTAGAGGGTCATGGATCAAAGGCTTTGCATTTCTTGCTAATGACCAAGAATTGATAATCAAAGGGCAGCTATGTGAATTTCCATGCATGGATATAACTGCATGTAATACATTCATGGAGTATTTATTTAGTTCTTCACAACTGACAAATTGTCATCTTTGAATACTGCATTTAAAAATCAAAATTACTGTAAGATATCTTATCATTTTTCAGCTAGATTTAGAAATGTCAGTCTTCAAGGTTGCACAGATATTAAAATGAGACTATAACCTATGCTCATTTCCATTTCTCAAAAAAGCCTCTATGACAAAGATGATGCAAAGATAGGCACCAAAAGATTAAGGAAATTTCCAGTGGTAGCAGGAAGGAAAAGTAAAAAAAAGTACCATTGCTAGAACAACTATTTCACAGGTCTTTTGTTAAATCTAGGACTGCTGGTACATATATTACATTCTTAACCTTCTTTAAATTAAACAGAATGGTTTACAAAAATGTTTTTTGCCTACAATTTTCTGTCCAAATTGGATTAAGCTTACGTCTTGCATATTATTCTCTGCAAGGTCAGTGCGTAAACTGTGTCTGTGTCTACATTTGATTTCTATATGTCAAATAATTACGGACATTAACTCAGAGTAGAAAGTGAAGTGAAATTTGGAATATAAACACCAGAACAAATCTTATTTGGTTTATTAATGAACTTTGATATATTAAGTTCTTTCATTAAAGCAAAAACATTTAAAAAAAAATACTGATTTACAAGGATTGCTGGTCAATCAGTTTTTCACTAACAAATACGTTGAATTATATAACACAATATGTATTAATCAATATGTATGTAAGACTTATTTGTGCTTAATAAACTCTCTGTAATACAAAGCATGTTTCTAAACTATAAAAAAGAAACATTAGATAAGTTGACTGTCCAAGTAGACTCATATATGAAATTAATGTACAGTTAAAAAATTCAAGAGATGCAATGTAAAAACAAGTAGAATTATATAATTCAGTATAACTAAAGAAATGAAAATTAATCTCTTATCTTGAAAAGAACAGGTCAAAGAAAAAAACAAAAACACAACAACAGTCCAATAATGAAGAATGCAGAATCAAATAAAGTTACAAAGAAACATGACCCACTGGAGGTAAGATAGCCTGGGGAAACTGTTTTGCCATCTTCACTGACTACTATCAAGTCTAATTTTGACCTAGTCACGATTCAAATGCCAACAGGATAACAGGAGAATACTGTTTGTCCCAATCTTCAAAATTTTGCCATGCTACCTGTAAAGAGATAAAATGCTTCCCTTAATTTTCCCTTTCCAGCTTCTCAACAAATTTAATTATCTGTAAGCCATCTCAGCGGAACAACTCATACACACAATTAAGAAAAAGCGACACAACATCAAATTGAAAATGATTGACATTATATGTAATTTCCATAGAGAAATATTGTCCAAATGCCTATGAAAGGTGGGATAAGCAGGAAAAACCCATGGCTCTTTAAGTACTATGGTTATGCACAGCAGAAAAGTATTAAGGAAACTCACAGGCTGGTCAAAATAGCAATGAACAGGTATGATTTCTGCAGGCTTCACTAGGGGTACCACAACTGCAATCCAATACTAATGAGTTGCTTCCCAGCCCCCACCCCACCCCCAAAATCCAACTATTAAAAACTGTCGGGCCGGCCTGTGGCTCACTCGGGAGAGTGCGGTGCTGATAACACCAAGGCCACAGGTTCGGATTGTATATAAAGATGGCCGGTTGGCTCACTGGCTGAGCGTGGTGCTGACAACACCAAGCCAAAGGTTGAGATCCCCTTCCCGGTCCTCTTAAAAAAAAAAAAAAAAAAAAAAAAAAAAAAAAAAACAAGAAAAAAACTGTCATCATCCTCAAACTACTATACTTTTAGTTTCCACCTTCACACACTAGGTTTTCAGGTTTCCCTATTCCCCAAATTTAAATGCACTATCCAAATCTCCACAGGTCAGTACTAGAACAAATACTGTATTGCTAACCACATCACTGGGAATTAAGCTCTTTAAGAGTTTACACTGACCAAGGAACAGAATCACATCTTGTATAACTTTGTATCCTAAAGAATATTTGGTAACAATGTCCTAAATATATCAGGGGCTATAAATATTTACTGACTCAAAAACGTCCTTCATCGCCTTGTAGTTCTGGGCTATTGAAACAAAACTGCACAGCTTTGCAAAATCCAAGGAACACAAATGTTACTGAAACTTTACAGAATATATGATTGCTTTACTATTTAGGGATTTTTAGCTTTGCCCCTATTATCAGCTGTCATGCTTTTTACTTACAGTGGTATAGTGGGGAGCAGATCCAGTCAAAAGTGGACATCAGAACCCATCAAGAGTTTTAAATTTAAATTTTACATATTTATCCTTCATTAATGAAATGTAACATTAATGTTCTGAAGTCCGGTAATTGTATAATAACTTAAGAGACAGTTTTTGCAGTCAACCTAATTCCCAGGAACATAAATGAAAACTGGTGCCAATAGAAGAACAAGTAATCAAGCAGAAAAGCTGATTTTAATTGTGGCAACGAGGTAAGAATAGTTTACATGAGCGTAACTAAAAATAAGCCATTTTGTAGTCTATAGGTAAGTTTTTGAAATAGTTATAAAAGTCTTTAAAAGTCAAAGCAAATTGGTAAACCATTCCCCAAACCACAGGCTACCATGAAAAAACACACAAAAAACACCTGGCAACCAACATCTAGAACTGCTTCCAAAGTATCAAAGGTTTTCTGATTGCTAATATACTCCATTAAGCACCCAAGGCATTGTCACTTAGGTGTGTCATTCCTAAAATGGCAACACAGGTCCAGAAATTTCGGTAAGTGCCGTCAAACCCAAACTATGACAAAGATACTCTCCTGCGACCCTTCTGCCCTAGTACCAGCTTGCTCTAGTTAAGTTTAAAACGGTGCCTAAATTGAGAGGAAAGCCTGTAGCATGGATAAAGAGAAAAAAATCAAATGGAAAAGTAATTTTAAAAGTTAAATTTCTATTTCCAACAAACTACGTCTTTGAAATCTTCCAGAAGATAAAGACACGGAAAAACAGATGGATCAAGACCCGTTCGCATTCTCAGAGGCGTGCGCATTGCGCCGAAACGAAGAATGAATGGAAGACAGGCGCGTGTGAAATGCAGGTCCGGCCGGCGACCAGACCCGCAGTGGCGAGCAGTAGGCCTCGCTCCTCCCCCTTCCCTCCTCCATGACAGCCCAGTCCCAAGCATGGAGGGGCGAGGACAATGTGATCCCCCTTCTCACCACCAACCATCCCTCATCCTACTCGGAGTGCTTCAACGCGCGACACGGGGCTTTCCTCCCCACTCCAAACCTTTCTCGCCTCCCCTGCCGCCAACCCCGGCAACTCTCCGGCACGCTGGAGTAACATGCGCTCGCCCTTCTCGGCTCCCCTCCGCTGGGTCGAAGTTTCTCCGCGCGTGCCGCCGCACCACTCCCGCCTAACCCACTCTCCGGGAACGCGCGCCCACCGGCTCTCCACCCCACCCGTCTAATGAAGACCTGCGCGTGCCCCGCACCCGAGCCTTTGGGCTGGAGCTCGGGAGAGAGGGAGAGAAAGGCTGCCCCGGGGCTCCCTCCACCATCTCATTCCAGGCCGGCTCGCCGCCCACCCTCTCTGCAGATCCTGGCGACCGCTCGGAGCCGGCCCCGCGCCCTCCTATCACGCAGACACAGTCCCCACACACCTAGCCCAGAACCCCAGTCACCCCCAACCCTTGTAACACCTCGCGGCTCCGCAGGAGGTGCCACGCCGCCCTTCCCCCACCCTCTCCCCCAGTTCTCTGGCCCCCACCAGAAAGTGTGCGCTACACGCCGCCTCAGCCAGTCTCCGGGGCGCCCCCAGTTGCCGGCGGGAGGTCATGCCCAAGAAGAGGGGGAGGGGGCGGCAAGGAGTAGCGTGCGCGCCGGGAACGCCGTCCCGCGGGGTCCCCAGTCTGAAGGGAGACACAGCGCGGGGACCGGTGGGGGTGGGGGCCAAAGGCAATACTCACCGGTTCCACAGTCGCCATCTTAGATCGATCTGATCGCACAACCGCTCCTGAAGGGGGGTGAGAGGAAAAAAATGAGATTCAAACCGGATTGGCCGGCTACTGTCCACGTGACGGACGTGTCCGTTTGGCCCTGGCAGGGCCTGCGCAAGACTGCGGCTGCGTGGGAAACGAGAGGCTTCTGGGAAGTGGAGTTTCTCTCCGTCTTTTTTTTTTTCCTTTAAGCAAAGAAGTTTTTTTAAAAAAAGGAGTGTTCACGTGGGCTATGGGTAGAGCGCGCAGTTCTCAACGCAGCGGACACTCGCGTTCTGGAGGGTGGTTTTCAGTCTTCTCTTCCGCTTGGGTCTCATTTACTGCCAAGCATCCCTACTGTGTCCTTTGTCGCCCTGTCCTCCCATCTTCCCCGGAAGGTTGGGAAGGAACCGCAGGCTCAGCACACACAGTAAGACTTCATTTGCTTTGTTGAGGTCCTAGGACACGTTGATTCTGTGTTTATTTAGTTTTCTTTTGACCTCCCACCATTTTCTCTTAATTTCAAAAAGAAGCGGCGCTGGGAGTCCTCTAAGCAATCAACCCTCCCGCGTCCGCCGGCTCTGCTAACAGTGGTAGTCATGCATTGCCATCACTGCGAAAGACGATGGGAGCAACAGCCTACGGCACCCACGTGCCTCCGGCTGGGAAGGCAGAGTGGACCCGACAGCCTTCCCTGGCCCAAATCCTGAGATTAAGACCTCAGGGCTGAAGTTGCGTGGAAGCAAAAATTATTTGGAAGTTCTGTCCGATCGGTTCCAGTATTCTGCTCTAACGTGAACGGAAATACTCTAAGTCCAGGTGCCAGCCAGGGAAGCCACTCCGGGCCTCGCTGACTAAGCCCTGGACAGACCGTCAGGAGTCGTTAGGCCGGGTCAACTATGACTCTTAACGTTGACTCATTCTCTTTCGGCGAGTGACTTAGTCATTCAGTGCCTCAGCTTTTTCATTTATGAACCAAAGGAGATAATACACCTACCTCACAAGGGTGTGCTGTGGTAATGACTGTACCAGCTTTGAAAATGCATCAGATTCTATAAATGCTTCGTAATAACCGCGTGTCTTCTTAAGGATCAGCTGCTTCCCCTGCTATTTTTTTAAACAATGTTTTTAATTTTTCTTATGTTTACTTTGTTACATTATTATGTGCACGAATGCAGTTTCAAAATGTCAAGACCATTTTTTTCTTTACAACAGTAGCTGTCCTCAGTAGAGGCTTTAATGTTTAGGAAATTATTGTTATGTTCACAGTAATCACTGGCAATTAGAAATTTGTCCCCATGCTGGCACCTTACATTTCTTTCGCCTCTAAGATGCTGTGCTATCATTTCTCAATACAGTGTTACTTTGCACAGTTATTAATACAACAAATAGAGGTGAAGAACTCTATTAGAGTTCTACTACACAGTTCTAATAAGGAGGATGCTATGTATTTTCCTGCTTAATATTAGCACCAGGAAAAGCAGTATAGGCAGGCCTGCCTCCTTATGGTGTTGCTGATGTCCAGAGCTGTGTCATACCTATTATTGAGTACATAATGGATGCTTGAGTTGGCTAACACATAATTGAGGTGGTGTAAGAACTCAAAGCCATTGCTTGTTTGGTTTATCTGGAGGTTAGAGGTTATTAATGAAAGCGTTTGTCTTCTCAGCTTAACTCCAGTAGCTTCTAAAGTAGATAGCATTCTAAAAAATAAAAATAAAAAATAAATGGATTTCTACTTACAGAGACTATCTACTGTTACTTAAACTATCCAAAGTAATCACAGTTGATCTCACTGATATTTTCTGCTGGTTAAAAGCAGTATCTGGTTACCTTCTTTGAAGGGACAGCATAGATGTCCTATTTTCTTGAAGCTGCCAGCTAACAGAGCAAAGAATCAATGAGATTGGCAAGGAAATAGCAATATGGGACTGAAAGCCAGTGATGTTCTTAAAACTTTTCAAACAGTAGTTTCTTTTAAAAATTTTCTCTTGATCAGAAATATCCCTACTCTTGTCAATCAAGTCTTGTACTTTTACAATACTTATGTATGCTCCTATTGCTTGTAGTTTAATTTCTCACCATTTTTGCATATGCTTTCCTACATGAGATTTATGGCACATTCATGTGTCTTTGCCTAATATTGAGATTCTGCCATGTCAAAGATTTGGCGATTTGGTTTTTTAAGTGGTTGTTTTGTTTTTTTTCTAATCTTAAATACACACAGCAGAAATTTTATATTTTTATTTCTCTATTAATCCACAAAAAAACTACATTTATTTCCTTACTACTATATTCATGCTTCTACTTAAGGAAAAAAAAGTTTAATTAAAAGACTATGAAATGGGACATGGTACTGAAATACTATTCTACTTGAGTGAATTATCTAGTTTGTACATAACTACTTATGGCCCAGCATAGCATCATTGTAACTATTATTTATAAGCCTGGGATGATTGGATATCACTTAGCATCTGTAAATAACCATGATCTTTTCTCTGCATAGTATATTCCTCAAGCTGGTATGCTACTAGTCTTTATAGATTCAACTCATGGTAAAAGACTTTAAATAATTTGATAGAACACTTCAGTTGTTTTATTATATATTTACTTCTTTGTTGTTGGAATTTTGTTAAGGTTTTCTAGATAGCTGCAGTCATTGTTTTGCTGGGCTTTTCAACTATGGTTCAAACTGATTATATCTGCTACAATTCATCCTTCCAAATTGTTACTGCCCGCTGTCTAGGTTTTTGTTGTTTTTTAAAAAACAAGCTTCGGAATTGTAGACATTCTGTTTAGATTAGATGCATTTCTTTCAACATTTTTTTTTTTCAAAATAAGTAGGTTTTGGGCCAGCCCAGTGGCGCACTGCTACAGTGCGCCGCTTGGGAGCGCGGCGGCGCTCCCGCCGAGGGTTTGGATCTCACATACAGACCGGTTCCCGCTCACTGGCTGAGCGAGGTGCGGGCACGACACTGAGGGTTGTGATCCGTTGCCGGACACGAAAAAAGACAAAAAGGGAAAAAAAAAAAAAAAAAAGTAGGTTTTGAGACAGTAGACATGAAATTGAATAATGAAGTAAGGTATCCTTAATATTGTAATGATGGATGGTCACTTAAGGTATAATCTAAATCAACCTCTAGTTAGCAATAACATTTTTTTTAACCTGGTTCAATCTTTTTTTTTAAACTTGGTTATACCTGTACTTTACTTTATACTCTATTATTTATAGTTATTGTCATTTTCTACAATGATTTTTTTTTTTTAGAAAGGAACTAAGGTAATGGCTTTTAATGGGATAAATAGTCTTTTAAATTACAATTGTATAGTTCACTATTTAAGAATATGAACTGTTGTGTTAAACTATCTTGGTTCATAATCCCAACTCTACTATTTATTGTGTGACCATAAGCAGGTTATTTAGTATCTCTCATTTTTCTCATGAGTTAGATGGGCAAAGTAATATTATCGTTTGTTTGTTTTGCAGCTGGCCAGTATGAGGATCTGAACCCTTGACCTTGGTGTTACAACAGCATGCTCTAACCAACTGAGCCAACCAGCCAGCCCCAAATATTATTTATCTTATATAGTTAAGATGAGGAATAAATGTGTTAATTCATGTAGCATGTGTTCTTAGAATACAGTAAGCACTTAATTTTACTTATAATTAGCATGATGAAATATTATATTGGTATAAATTTCTTATTTATATTTAAGATAGTGTGGCATATATTTAAGAATTATTTGATTCAGAGAGCCAACCTCATCCTATTATCTTTGAGGATATCCCAAGCTTTCAAATATTCAAAGTCAACTAGCATTTATTGATTTCCTATAACTTATCAAGTATTTTTATATTGATTACCTCATTTGACTTTTATAACAATTATGTAAATTAAATATTATCATCTCCATTTTATAGATAAAGAAACAGACTCAGTAAAGTTAGGGGACACAATGCAGACAGTGATGACCTGGAATTCCAACCCAATTTTTTTGACTCTCGAGATTCTTTCCTCCATACCATAGCTGCTTTCCTCTGTTAGGGTCTTCCAAATGCCTGTTTCTCTTCAAGGGACTTCTAATTCCAAGTTCATTTACAAAACTGATGAGAAACCTTCCAAGAAGTACTAAGTAATGGGAACTGTGTGTAACCAAGAAGGATATTTAAAGGACACAGGAAACATAGGCACTTCCTTCCTGGACTATAAAATCTGGTTGGTATACTAAGTCATAGAAATATAAATAGTTCAGTACCCATATAAAGAAGTGTGACTAAGAACCAAAAGGATGCAGCTAACAGGCACCATAACAAGCACTCATTCACATAATGAATGAGACAGTCACACAGCTCCTTCCCTCTTTTCTTTCAGGTCTCTGTTTCAATGTTATCTTCTGAGAGAAGACTTCCTTGACCACCCTATCTAAATTAGCATGCCCCTTACTCTTTTTTGTTTGTTTGTTTCTTGTTTTTTTTCTTTATTTTGTTTTATTTTTTTATGTTTCATTTCTCCCCTTTATCCCCTTACCCTGCTTTATTTTTTTTAGGCCACTTTCTAACTGTAGCTCTAAACTTGATATTATGTTAAACAT